GTTAAATACTTAAGTTCCCAACTTTATGGATTTTTCAATAATTATCTTATTTAGACAGAGGCAAAACTTCTTTCATTCTTGCCAAATTGGGACAAACCCCTCCAAACATCTTATTCATGGCCTCTGCAAGATAAAGCTTTCATTCTGCTCAACCATCGCTAGTCTTCTTTGTTGTCGTACAGCTGTTATTCCATTGACAGACATTATTTGAAGTCAAACTATAGGAAAGCAGTGGAATCCCAAACATCTCTGATGTATAGCGACTTTATGTCATGGAAAGAAAGCGTTTGAAAGTAGTACACAAGCAGATGCTCTCATCAATCATCGTCAATTTCATTTGTCAAGTGCAAAAGAAGAGCATCATTTCAAGGCGTTAGTTTTGCCTGAAAAAAGTGACATTTCTGGTGCTTGCGGGTTCAAAAGGGGAAACAAATACTACATAATCAGAATTTCATAGCTGTGCTGAACGCAATAGAATAAAAAGGTATATTATCTCCATTTTTACCTGGCTATTCACAAAATTATGCATTGAGAGAATTCTGAGACAGTCATATAATGAGATTGTAATGAACGGAGTAAATAGATGCTAAACAGGATCTAGGTCCATTGTTTGTCTAATAGTTTGCAACTAAAAACCACTAGTCACGGAAACTTGTTACTAAACTTCTTTCTCAAATTTCAATCCAATTCTCTGTGGATATGCAACTATGTCGATAAACCCAAAAAATCTAAACACATGTAGGTAACTACACAGAGTGAGCATATTTTTGGTCAAACTTGATAGTACTTTTTCGCAAACAACTCACTGCTGCTGCTGAGGATCATCCACAGGCATATAATCCTTTCAGCGAGATGATGAATGCCAGGAAATAAGTAAATTCTAGATGAGTAATCTATGCGATCCCTTTTAGCTATTTTTGATTTAGTGGAAAAAAGAAAGATGATAAAAGGCCAGTGTTGTTAGAGATTAGATTCTTTTCAAAGCGTGAAAGTTGCGCAAATAATTGCTTCCTCAAAAAAGAATGGGCAGAGAGTCTTACGTGAATGCGCAATTTCCATTAATTTTATGAGAAATAATGAGTAAAGTCAGAACAATAACAATCTAGCTACTCGTGATGGTCTACCACCTCATCATGGCGTTGGGGTGACTGTGGGTGTCGAACTGCGAAGTACAGTGGAGGTTCGTCTTCTAGCAGGGACTCCCAAGCTGAGAAAGAGTTCGACCTTTCCAGCTCCCCCAGACGCCAGCCAAGAGTAGGCCATGCCAGAAGCGCCATCGTCTGGCTGATTGTCGCTAGGTGGTTTCCTGATCCACATAGGTCAGCGATTATCTGTGGTAAAAGCTTGGTAGACCTGGGGATTGCTTGGGATTTATTTTGTTGCTTGTACAGCGTATGATAGGAAAAAAAGCCCTGCACACTAGATCAAATGTTTAGCGTAGGATGTCATCAAGACCAGTGCCAGGTTGCACAGGTCAATGGATTTTGGACCAAAAAAAAAACACGTCGACGACTCGTCATGGAGATTATCTCATGCTCTGCAAGCACAACGCCAGAACAGTCTCCACCAATGCCGATCTTCACGCCCTTCTCGAAGCTGCATGGTGCATCAATTACCACGTAATCGCCTTGTAGGAAACAAAGTCCAGGCGGACGGACGTAAGGCACACTCATCATTCGTGATGAGAGAGTTGCATCACAGTGTTGGAGGCGTTGGATTTGTACACTCAGTTGTTCATCTTGTCGATTCGATGAGATCCTATCACCTCGCCTAGCTATTTCTCGACCTCGTCCTTTCCATCAGAAATCCAACACTATCATCATTTGCTATTCTCCAACATCAACAACTCATAAAAGTCACCCACAAGAGAAGTCCTTCTACACAACTGTCTTGGGTGACTGCAATTTGAAGTTCGGAATGTCAGAAGAAGAGGAACATGGGATCAGGAGATTTGGATCAGGACTCCGAAATAAGAATGGTAACCGTTTTGTTGGGCTCTTATCCACCGCATGACTTTTTCATGACAACTTCATCTTCATGAAGAAAGAACACCGGTGGTGGACTGAGAGTCACCAACGGCAACTCATGCAGAGATCCACCACATTCTCACCAACTGAAGGTATCGTTAAGGTTTGTTGGGCTCTTATCCACCGCACGACTTTCAGGGAGGTGGTGCTTACCACACGTCTCAGTGGTACCATCTTTAGTAGTTAGATCACCGCCTCCTTCAAAGTGCAATTCAGCCGAAACCCGGAAATGAAGATCTGTCACTGTGTCGAGGGAAGGAGAGAATCCGTGTATGACGACGACGGATTGGATGACCTGACCTCGCGACTGACCCACTGAGGAGGACCAAACGAACGACTACCACCTGCTTCTTTGAGGACTGAGAGCCTATCAAGGATCTGCTAGGGAAAAGAAGAGCACTAGGGCTGCACCGATTGCATCGTATTTCGAACGACTGGTAGCCGACAACAGTTGCGGAACAGCTTTGCAAGAAAATCTTCCAAAGTACAGGCAATCGAACTTTTGGAAGCAGTACAAGGAAAAAAATCTATAGAAGTATCGCCGGAACTTCCTCGACTACCGTAATCCGTTGACAACATTACTAAACGAATATGGGACCCGCACATTTTCCTGACAAAAGATGGAATCGATTACGAAGAGATTCTACAACAATCTTTTTCGTTCGTCAACACCCGTCTCAATCTCCGTTATTTCCTCTGAGAAATACCACCACGGATTCTACCTGCTGAAGTGCCGCCGCAGCACAGACCATGAAGGCAGCCACGGCTCCGGGAACGAACCATGTTTCGGCCAGCTTCTCACGAGCTGGAGGATATGTCTACGTGAGATACTTGCGGCAAAAACGTCTTCCCTTAAAAAGATATCCGACCAATGAAGGACCTCCCGAACTATCCTCCTTCATAAGAAGGGTAACAAGGAGGATCTTTGGAACTAGAACTGAGAACTACCGTCCAATATGCCTGGTGAGCGTGCTTAACAAGCTATTCACGAAGATCATTCTCATCACATATCAAGAACACTGAATGAAGCCCAACCTGCAGAAGCTGGGTTTCGTAAGGGGTTCAGCTGCGTGGATCACTTCTAAGTTTCGAGGATTATTAAGGTTTGCCGAGAGCAGTTCTAACCTTCGTCGACTATGACAATGTTTGACAACGTCGAGACTAGTGCCATACTGTCAGCGCTGGTCGACCAAGAATGGACCCATTTTACGTAAGGACATTAGCTGACTGCTACAAGAACTGCTCTACGGCGTTACAGCTTTTCCACCCCTTTACCATAGCAATTTCGAAGGGGGTTCGACAAGGCAACACAGTATCGCTAAAGCTGTTTACCGCCGCTTAGCAATGGGTGATGAAATCATGGGATTGGAAGGAGATATCTGAGTTGATAAATTCATCTCGACCTTCATTTGTGGACGACATT